GTGACATGTCTTGTCCTGTACTTGCAGTAAGGTCCCAGAGGAGTTTGTTCCCCAGCATCAAACAAATGGAAACCCTCCAACTCTATTTTTAGTAATAAGTGGTAATTTTTTACATTTATTTTCCCTTTTTCCTCATTCTTGAGACATTAGAATCATAACTTCAGGCACTAGAAGGCCATGCTGTTGACATGAGCGATATCATGGAAGCCATAATCTAAGATCAGGCTGCCAATGAGAAGTTTTCCTTCTCATTGAGGGATGATTAATAGAAACCTCCTGTGCTCTTCCATGTCAAGCTATCCATGTTTGCATGAGAATCATAAGTTCATAACCCCCTTTCCATTTCCTGATTTACCTGGGAATCATGTTTGAATAGAAGTTTATCAATCAAAGGTGGAGGATTTGGAGATGTTTCAATTTTTTTCTGGATAATTAAGTTTTGGGGTCAGATGTGATAATTGGCATCTTATTGGCACAGTGATATGTGCAAATGTCACTTTCAAGGGGTGTGATGAAGAAAATGGGAAACACAATAGTTTTCCAATCAATCACACCACTGATCTATCTCATCCCTCGTATATAGGATTATAGGGACGGTGATGGAGCTCTGCTCTATAATAGATTTCTAACAGAAAAATAAATGCAAGAACTGACCAAATGAGGGAAATTCTGAGGTTTTGATATTAATGAATAATAACTGAAATAGTGTTACAGAAGGGAAAGTGATTAATTCTGGCCAAAACCCTATCCCTAATGCAGAAACAAGATTACAGCAAAAGAAATGAAAGCAACAATATAACTGGTCCCTCAGTGGTGTTCAAGAGACCAGCACTCTCCTTACGTTTGTCTAACTCTCAAACATTCCTGAGTGCTATCCAAAACCACAATCAAAATATTAAGGTAACATAAAGGTGACTCCAGCATCTAGTCTGAAATTACAGCCACCCTACACGCAACCCTCATTGTCTGGACCCTTGGGATAATGATCCTGACCTGATGAATAATTGTTTCCTACTCCTTGCTTTCCCCTTAATTTCCTCCTATATGTCTGAATAGGCCTCATGGTCACATCGGATGCTGGCTCATTCTCACTAATCCTACATGACAGAATATTAAAGTACAGATTAGAAGGATTCCTAGCATTGTTCTGGTGGTAGTGATTACTAGTTATTAGGATTTCTTACTATTTTAGTTACCTCTCTGATTTTGTATTTATATAATGTGTTTGTATGATCATTTGGGGCATGAAAATTCTACAACGCATAGTAAATTATAGCACTCCTTTTCGCATGGGTACATTGCTCCAATGTAGTGTATGCCTTGTTCTTCCTTCTGCGGCCATGTGGTCCCCTCCACCTTATGCTGAGCAACATGGTAAAAGTTTTGCTTGCTTCAGATATAGTTCATGGCTTGAAGAACAACAAGTTTACTGGGGCTGATAGAACTGAGATCTCTCTGTTTCTGGAACGTGCATTTGTTCGACTAGAGGCATGGTTCCAATGGTTCAATACAACTCAGTCAGGTATATACTACATGTGTGGTCTGTTTCAAGCTCTCAAAATATCTTTTCCTTGTGGCCAAGTTTTGGATTAGTATCTATGTAACACAGGGAATCAAATGAGCAGCTACTATTGGCATGGACGAGACAATAGGACAATTCGTGAATTAAACCCCAAGGTAGACGTGCATTTTTAAACCCCAAGCTAATATTAAGTTTTGATTCTGCACTATTACAGGAGATCCCACAATCAAATTGATGAAAATATCTATGGTCACGCTTCTTTTTTGGGTCAAAATCTATGGTCATGCTTAAAACAGTATAATGTAAAGGCAGGAACAGCTCAGATTTGTTGATAAATTGCTCTAAAAATAGGCCAGAAACCTACTAAAGCATTTGGCTGCATAGCCAATAGTTTGTCATGTTGCACTTTGGTGGCAATCTACTTCATGGTGGTATTAATATGGCAGAATATGCTTCAACTTATGCTATGATATTATCTTTGTTGTTGGCAAGTCTGAAGCAGATGAACTGTGGATGAGTTTGGATTTTGGAACCTGTCTTCTCTCTTGCAATTACGTTGTACTTGTCCTTGAAGTGATTGTACTTTATAATTTATATCTTCATAAAAAATGGGGTCACTTAACCCTGCTATTAGTGTTCATCTATTTGGACAGACTGGAGTTATCTTTAATGAATAGATTTATTGCTACATGACGTTCGTTCTTGCATCCTCAGACACTGACCTCTGGATTGGATGATTATCCACGTGCTTCACACCCGAGTGGAGATGAACGTCATTTGGATCTCAGATTTTGGATGCTACTTGCAGCTGATTGTATGCATTCTATTGAAGAGCTGTTGGACAAGGAGACCAAACCTGGCAAGGTATTAACAAAGTGACGCACGCATTATTAATTAGTAGATCATATCACCAGAAGTAGGGGAAATACTAGCAGCAGGGAGGCAGTCACCTTATCTCATTGACGTTGAATGAAATCATGCAGGATTATGCTGCTACTGCTAAAGTGCTATCAGATTTTGAGTTACTGAACCAGGTACTTTCTTTCCTTCCTGTATCCTTTGTCCGGGACTACTTTCACCACGATATTCCATTGCTAGTTTCAGTTGCCATGGATCGGATGCTAGTTCAAATATATAACAACAAAGAATAAGGTTAAAATCATAAGGCCAATACCTGTGGAGACTGATGAAAAAATGAAAGAACTTGGAAACCATCAGGACATATATGATAATAGAAAATTTTCTAAGAATCAGAATACATATTGAAAAGAAAGAGTATGACAATATGAAGTTTAATTTCTGTATACAAAAATTGTTTAATTTCCTAATTTAGAATTTTTTGTCTTTCTAAGGTTTCCTCCTAGTGGTAAGCACAAATTTCCCTTTAACATCTTTCCTATGATTTTCATTGAAAAAAATAAATAAATAAAGACATGGAGAATGGAAAGATAAAGTGCCTCCCTGGCAGAGCCACAGAGCCTTAGATGTGTGGAATATTATGATTGCTCTGCAAAGGGATATTTCAAACTTAAATGTGCCCTTACAAGTCAGTTTGTAAACGAATAAGCCATGTATTTTTTGAAATTTCGACTACACTACCTCCATGTCGGGAATTTTCTTGTGAGGTATGTAAAATTTTTGGATTAGAAAAGGGAAAGCAAATGATCCGGGTGGCATTTACCATATACCTGTATCGTGATATTGAAGAACCAGTTTGTTGAAACTACAATTTTTTCCTAATTTGTGTTTGATGTTGTTACAGATGCATTTTGATGATGCATATGGTGCTTACTTTGATTTTGGAAATCATACAGAGAAGGTATACTGCTTCTTCATTTCTGCTTAGTATTACAGGCATGCTGTTGCAAAATATTAGCTATTAATTGTTCCTCAATTCAAGTAATGAGAATTCCTTTGCACACCTTACTATATTAGGTTCTGTTGAAATGGAAAGAAGTTGAGGTAGGACCCAACCATGTAACTCGCCAGCTTGTCCGGGATGTCTTAGAAAGGCCGAAGCTGAGATTTGTTCCTCACATCGGTTATGTTAGTTTGTTCCCATTCATGGGGAGGATCATACCGCCTGTAAGTGATACAGGTTAATCGATCACGATATTTGCTGTCACCAGTGTGCTACCTTCAAACTGAATTATGTATGTCACTGTTACATTCAGGCATCATGGATTCTGGAAAAACAACTTGAATTCATTTCGAACCGCAGCGTCTTATGGACCGACTATGGACTCCGCTCTCTGGCCAAAACAAGGTCTCTAATTAATGTTTTTAATGATTTTAATTCCAGAAAGCTAACGTATCGACGACCATGTATCTTGAACGCAGCTCCTTGTACATGAAGCGCAACACAGAGCACGATCCACCATATTGGAGAGGTCCTATCTGGATAAACATGAATTACAGAATTCTTTCAGCTCTCCACCATTATTCCAAAGGTACATTGCCTAGAATGATACTATGTTTTGCTATTGGTTTTAATAAACTAAACTCTCGGTTGAATTTTGCAGAGAAAGGACCGTATCAGGACAGAGCTAGAACCGTCTATGAAGAGCTGAGACGCAATTTAATTAGGTATGATTTGATTTCGTTTGTTGATGTCCTGATATATTTTTAGAGACTGGTTAAAATAAATGTGCCCTTCATGCAGAAACATAGTACGCAACTACAAGCAGAGCGGATTTTTGTGGGAACAGTACGAACAGAAAGGGGGCAAGGGAAAAGGCGCGCGAGCCTTCACTGGTTGGACATCGCTTGTAGTACTAATCATGGCGGAGGCATATAGCCAAACGTAGGACCAATAAGATTGTTACTGGTTAGTACAATTTATATCCACACCACAGACGCCAGATGGAATTTTCCTTAATCGAGAATATTTATTGTTGTATAATGATCAAAATAAGCACCAAATATAGTTAGTTTTGTACTTGTGAAATTCGAGTAATGCAAGGAGCTTCCAATAAATTAGCCAATTAGGCATGCTCTGTTCGCTAATGAATTTGGAGTTCATCATGACCCGGAAAATAAGTCCCCGGTAAATTAACTGTCTGATTTACATATATTATTTGACACAAATTTAGTTGAAATTATATAATTTTAAGAAAATTATATTGAAGCCTCACATAAAAAAATTTAATTATTACAAAATTCAGTGATAATTAAATTAAAAAAATTAATAATTGATTGTGTTAATAATTAATTTTTATGTATAGGATTTGCACGTAATTCTCCCTATAATTTTTAATATACGTGGCACTCAAGTAAGGACATGTGTAGTTACATTTTTTAACGTTTAAAGGAAAAAATGATTCAAAAAATTGGGTCAAGGAAACAAATATTTCAAAAGCAAAAGTAGCTTTATTTAATTCTAATTGAGTACTCATTTGGATGTCATGTGAGCCAAAAAAATAATAATAAACAGAATAAATCTATCTAAATAGATAATCGCTAACAAGCGATGCGGGAATGGTAAGACAACAGTGTTGAATTTTCAAAGTTTAAGCGATACCTACAAACCCCACGCCAAAAATTCAAAGGGCAAAAATATTCCTCAATCCAAAAATATATGTAATTAGAGTGCCAAAAAGAATAATTTCAATAAGCCCAAAACTCTGACAAGTTTTGTGAGGGATTACAATAAGCTGTAGCAGGGATTATCATGACTCAGTTCTAGTCAGGGGGAAAAGCTCGTAACATGGTGACTAATCAGCAATCTTTCAACGCAAAGCTAATGGTACAACTTTCTACCTTCAAGCTTTCGGTCAATAGCAACGGAAGCCCAACCGAATTTTTGCATGTCAAGTCAAGCCAACTCCTATTGTATCATTCTCAAGCTCCCTATATCAGCTGTCATAATTGCCGAGTAATTCAAGAAATACAATACAAATTCAAGAAAACTTGAAGCTTTATCAGTTGTTAAGTAGACTTCCCATTATCAGTTGTTCCTGTGTCCTCGGCCATCATAATCTCCATGTCCCTTATATCTCGCTTCAGTACATTTCCAAGTTTTGCTATTGCCTCTGTCTGCTGTTGCAAGACCTGCCCACAGAAAAATAAGCACCATTACACAGGAAATGTTTAAGTTCCCTTGAAAAGGCTTCATTCTTTGCATTGGAACTGCAGAGGATGATGCAGTCATTCATCTTGAGTGATTCCCTTATTTTGGTTTACAGGGAAAAAAATATTTTTAACAGTCAAAGATGACAGTCGTAGTTGTAAGGAAAATATACATTATATATTATCAAATTCAATAGTCCTTTCATTACTTTTCCAATTTTCTCATTCTTGTTCACTAATTTTCACAAAACGATTTTCTTTAATATGCCTATATTCTGCATATAATAAAATATAGAAGAAATCACACTATTCACAAATACAACTCACTCCATGCCAGGTCTATTTATTAGGAAACGCTATGGAGTAGTTGAAAATGGACGAAAACTTGCCTTCACATTTAAAATCCGTTGTCTTCATAGTTAAAATTTTTCCTCGGCTATAATTATCCTCCCAGCAGTTAAAATTCATGAAAACATGTTATCGTTTACCCATCCCTTGCCCTCTATTTGGGTTTTTCTCTTCCTTTTTCCCTCCTAGTCCTTACTCCCAGAAGATACCCAAGAAAAATTAAAAAGAAAAAAGGGAAAAAAATACGAAACAGAAGACCCAAATATTTACCCAAACCTGACTAATCCTCTGCAAAAGTATTGCAGGGGAGATATAAAACGTTTAAAAAAAGTAGAATATTCCATCCTCTGCAACATGACAGGATTTAAGAGGAGAAAGAAAATTTGAAAATATTGCAGCTGCACAGTAATTATACAGTAAAAAATTCTAAACTTTACATTGATTTTTGCGTAGTTCAAGAACAGGAAATAACAGTAAGTTCTATTTTACTTCTTATATTGATGATGTATTAATATTAAGCATTAAACCTTCCAAATTGGTCCCATCTTACCTCCTGCAAATCAGAAAGACTCTGTTCATGAATTTTGGTTGACCCTGGAAGATATAACGGGCCACCATGTCCACCACCATTTGCCTGAACACGGGATACAGTTAGCAGGTTCTGTACCCTTCTAGATAGTTCTGCTCCAGATCCTTTCAGCTGCAACAACTTCTTCAGTGTTAGTTCCACTTCAACCAGGAGGCAAAACATGGTGTAAGACTAAAAATTCTACCTGTCTAGTTATTGTCGCTAATTTCTCTGCAAGTTCAGCTTCCCCTTTTGTTAAGGGTATACGACAGCCTTTTCCTTCCAATGCTTCCACTATTCTCATTACCTTCAATCATAATATATTAGAAGACACCGCGTTAATAGTGGCAATGAATAACAAACTCCAATGCCCCAAACTCGGTTAGTGTTGCAATTTAACAAAAAACTATCAGAATCACAACCAGTTATAGAGGACTGTACCAAAGGCATAGAATTAAAGAGGGGATTACCAGCCAAAAGAAACATGATACTTTTACTTTCCCCGTAAACTTCTCATCAGCTACTATTCGTTTTCATAAATGTACAAGTCATGATGCACATTTTAATTAAAAAATGAGTTATTTCCTTCCAAATCAATAGCAAGTTACTTTCTCAAACATAGAATAGTTGCCCCTACTCTTAAAAGACGCCGTTGGAGAATTTGTTCTTTTTGCTGCAGTCTTTGAATCCAAGGAAGGGTATCAGCTTGAAAATGTCTTTGGAGCTGCATAGAACATTTGAAAATTAAATAGCTAAATGAGCAATGCATGGTGAAAACAAATTCTGCACTGCTTTAACATTGCACAGGGAAGAGCAGTACCATTTTAACATTGCTTTGGGTTATTCGTAATCTCTCTGCATCTGAAACAATGACTTCATCTTGGATCTGCACAAGGTAAATTCAGCATGAAATAATTGAATATGAACTCAAAGGATTGAGTTTGAAAAATAAAACTATTAATGCAAAAATAGAGTGCTTCTACATCAATCATGGAAAAACAACACTCATTATTCTCATGCATACTAAATAAGGGGGGGAAATGAAAACCATCAAGATTCTTGAGCTCTCAACTATTTAAGACATGCTCTACAGAAAACCAATAACTCTTATATACCCATGTAAACAAGCCAACAATTTTTCTTTCTTTCGTGTGGCTATTATAAACTATGTGGCAACTAGGGAAGCCTAAACATGAGTGATTTCATCCCTTAGCACGTAGCTCTTGTCTATAAAATCTATTCTCTCCCCTCTCCCTCCACACATGCGCTCCCCTTACTCCAGATCACAGAAAATCTTCATAGATTATGATACCACAGATGTATAGCGGTAAAGAGAAGGGAGAGAAACAGAGGAAATTGAATAGCACAACTGAATTTTTCTCATAAGCATAAGCCTCTAGTTTACATATAATCCCCTTTATAGAGGTTTCTACCCCCCTCCCAAAAAAAAAAAAAAAACCTGACAGCTATTTAACTCCTAACGGCCATATACAAGTATAACTACCATATCTCTTATTAATTGCAAATTACACATCAGATTAATTCTTAGATTGTTCAGCTCTCATAACTGAGAGCTCCTCATGAGGTCATGTTTAGCTTTGGCATAAGACGTCAGTGCTCCTTTGTTGTCTTGAAAAGTTATTTAAGTGTAAATTAATCCCCTCTAATATAGAAGTTATCTTATTTGTTAGATTATACACTCCCCACCAATTTTTCATCATTTGCCTGTGTCAATTTTTCATCTTAAAACAGAAGATATATATATATATAAAGCGAAAGTCCAAAGGGAAAGGAAAAGTGGGACAATATTTGATCAAAATCTCAAAGTCTTCAATATCCTTGCTCTTCATCCTGAGGCATTCTGATACATAATTGTAATATCGGAAATGATGGGATCGAGAGTTGTAGAAGTTAGTTAATAGCCGATAGGAAAGGGGTGAGTATTGAACCTATAAATAATACTACCTACTTGTAAATTCAGAATATGACTTGTATAAGAATACTCAGCATACTATTCAGATTAACTCTCCTCTAAACCTCTTCTTCCCTCTTGATCTCTCTTTCTATCTCTATTTCCCTCTTTTCTCTCTTCTATCCGAATTATAAACAGCTATCATATTCTACTATTTTGCCTAGCCAATTTGTATATGTTTTCAGGTTTCAAGAATCAGGAAGTTATAGATTAGCACGTTGATGAAATAATGAGTGGCGGCTAGATGATACAGATCAATATGATATTCAAAGCACCACTCCATTGTTGTGAGTGATTTCAATATATACCAAGTAACAAGTTACAAACCAATATAGAAAAAAGACAACAACCCCCTTCCAATACAGAATGTGCATCAGCAGTGACCATGGATCAAAATTTCTTACAATTGGAGAAACTATTTTCCAATTGAACCCCATTGACCCTGACTTATTTTAAACATAAACTAAGGAAATCAGCAGTCTTTTTAACACTAACTTATTAAGTATGGTACATATGCTCGCCAGAATAGACCATCTAAATAATCTCAGTGCACAAATAGAGCAAATGGTCAGCACCAATACTAACACCTTCATACTGTAAAATACTAAAATACATGATTGCGAGTACACAGAATAGTCAGATGCTACATCATTCAAAGTATCAAATATTCAAGTCAGCAGTACTGGTCTATTGGTTATCTCCCCTTTTTAGATCGATCTATAGGTTAAACTAACAGGGCCAAAATACCTCTATTAAAAAAATAAAAACAAAAGGGAATTTTACATGAAGCTTTGAGCTGACTAAATTTACCTTGAGTCGTTGTGAAAGATCCTTGAAACCTTGAACAAGTTGAGGCCACAGACGTTCTCGGTCAGCACTTTCCATACCTTCGAGCTTCCCCATTGCCTCTGCCCACATGATCTGGCAATACAATCTATTCCCCAGAATTAGCCAGTGATGAAACAAAAAAGACTTTATACTTCTATGGTTAACAAGTACAGTACAAGGTTTATATTATCATGTATACAAGGGAAAGAACTTACGTCTGATACACCAGCAGGCTTCACCCTATACTGCGGTTCGGTTACACTGAATAATAAATGCTGCAGAACACAGAAAGTCGAGATACTGAATGAACATGAACAAGCCTTAAGTCCCTTAACATTACACAAAATGCTGAAAATGGAAATATATACTTTACGAAAATAAAATTCTCAAAGGAACTTTCACAATCAAGACCCATGAGCACCGCCAATAAACAGTGAAATAAAGCTTGCAATGGTGGAAATTATTCTGTAACCAAAAAAAAAAAAAACAGTGACTGGAATACCTTAAAGGCGTACTTAGAATTTCCCGGCTCCTTATAAGCATCAACAATTGCCTAAAGATGAGAAAATAATAATGATGATGATCAATAAAAATACAATGTAACATATGAATAGGCGAAAGGAATTGAGCTATATGAAGTTTATGAAGGTGGATTAACACACTTGAATATCGCGATCGGCAAGAGAAAAAGGAACGGGAGCTACATTAGCCATCTGAGTAGTCAATTGTGCATTTTGAAACGGCGCGGGCTGTGGCGCAGCAAAAGAAGACTGAAATCCAAAACCAGTAGAAGAGGGTTGCTGAAACAGCGGGGTCTGCTGTTGCTGTTGCTGTTGCTGAGAAGAAAACGGCGTCGAGAAGAGTGAAGTGCCGAATCCAGCAGCAAAAGCCGGCGTAGACGGAGTTCCAAAAGCCGGCGTAGATGACGGAGTTCCAAAAGCCGGCGCGCCAAAAGCCGGCGTCGAAGACGCCGTGCCGAATGCCGGTGTCGAAGATGGAGTGCCGAACGCTGGCGCAGAAGATGGGGCACCGAACGCTGGAGTTGAAGAAGGGGTACCGAATGCGGGTGTTGAAGGAGTGCCGAAGAGCGAAGAACTCTGAGCGCCAAACATTGTGAAGACTGAAGAGACAAGAGTAAGAAAGAGAACAATGGGATTTCCCTTCGATCTAAGACCAAGGCGCCATTAATAGGCCAAAAATCTCGCAGTACAAGTGCTCGACGAAATGCTCACTACTCCGCCAGAGGTGCAGTCATCAAGAAAGACGCCTGACCTATTTTGCTATAAGGAAACGGGATTCGAGGGGTCTTTCTTGCCTTTGCCCTTCGCACATGAATCTTCTCCCTTTATTTCACATTCGTGTAAATGCAGTATTGCACCACGCAGAAAATATTATCATCAATTTATTATTTATAATTTTAAATAAAATAAATATTTTCTTTATCTCAAATTATAAAATATTTTTAAAAACATTTTTACATCTTAAAATATAAAATACTTTAAATATATTAAAATTTTATTAAATGTACTAATTTTAATATTATCCTTTCTCTCTATAATTAATTTTCATTATTTTTCTCTTTAATATATTAAATGATGGATATTTTAAAAAATTTATATTTTTATTTTAAAAAAATAAAATTATTAAATGTATTTAATCAGATTTATTGATATGTAAGATTTTATTTAAAAATACGTTATAATTTAAAATAAAGGGAGTAAGTAAATTAGCCCTAAATTGTAAGTGCAAAAGTGTTTGAGATTTTAAATTAATTTGTTGTGCAAAATTTTGTCCCAATTTTAAAAAATAGTGCAATTTAACCTCTGTTGTTAATAAAAATTAACTTTAATTATTAATTTATCAAAAATATCAAAAAAATTACCGAAAATGATTAAGAAATTTTTTAATTCTTTTATGTAATTCTTTGATCATTTACTATAATTTTTTAATTCTTTTTTATAATTTTGATGTCCTTTTCTATTATTTTTTAAAAATTAATTTTTATTAACATCAAAATTAAAGTGTATTATTTTCAAAAGTTAAATAAAAATATTACACAAAAGTTAAGTTTAAGAGTCGCAGATGTTTTTGAACTTATAGTTTATGGCCTAATTTTTTTATTCACCCTTTTAAATAATTTGTGAATAACTACTTTAAATAATTTTAGTATTGATTTAGGTTATTTTTTGAATATTATAAATATAGAAGATTTTAAACACACATTTATTATGAGAAATAATATAAAGATGCTTTCTGAATTCTGAAGCTAGTTCAAATAACAAAAATGAGTTATTGGCACACAAAAAAATGATAAAAATGAGGTGAGATGTGGTTAGAAACCTACGAATTTAAATAAAAGAAAAAAATATAAATATTTTTAAAAAATAATGGCACTAATTTTTCATTATAAAAAAATCATTTTATTTTATTTTATTGACAATACTCCTATGAAGTGTTTAGTTTTAAAAGTATAATAATTGCAATATAATTATGCAAAGCTAGATGTAACGAATTGATTCAGACCATTTTGCAGGACCAAAAAAACAGGGGAATGCTACCATTCAAAAAAAGTCAAATGCAGCTTTTAACTTTTTTTTTTCTTTTAGCCAGGAGATCAATACATGATATTAAATTGATCATGAACAAGACAGCTCAAATCAAATCGCCATCCCATTGAAACTCATCTAATCTAATCTAATTATATACCTAAACCATGGAAATTAGTTAATTGAGCATCATCATCACCACCAAGTACCAAAAAAATAAAGCTTCATCTGGGAATATCACGAACAAGGCAAGCGTCTAATCATAATCTGAAAAGTACAGATCAAACAGTCATTGATGAGAAACATATCGACTAAAATAACCCCCCACACATGCCAAAGACATCAAGAGGGAGCGATGATACATGCAGAGAAATATATGAAATCTAGAGTCTAAACCGAGAAACCCTCACTCCCTTCGTTCATATCAGTAAAACGAAGAAAGCAGAACTCTAGTTTCCAACTCCTCCATCAAGTCTTCCATTTCATGCCCTGATTGTTACACTGCACAAGCACAAACCAGACGGTCTTATCTCAGAAGTCTGCCATTCTGATCCTGGGGCTGCAGATGGATCATATAACAGAGTTCTGTATCCAGGATCGGCCTCCAGTGAGAACAGCAACAGCTTCTCATCCAGTATCCCGAATCGAAATCCAATACTTGAGCTCCCGGGCAATGGGACTGGCACCATCTTCCATGAATTATCCTCTGGATTGAATATTGCTAACTTCCTTTGGTTCTTCCACTCCATGCAGAACAGCTTCTTCCCCAGTACTGCATGTGCCGTGACCATCACGCAACCATTCTTCATCTCACACCAGCTGTGCTTTTCAGGGTTATAGACATCCACAAACTTGGAGTTGCCAATTGTGAAGCTTGACCTTCCACCCATCACATACAGCTTTCCCTCAAATCCACATGCGAAGCAACCCCATCTCGGGCGACGAAGGCTCTCAATCAGTGTCCATTTTGAAGCATCAGGATCATACACCTCAGCACTGGAGAGACTTTCTCCATCCGCTCCGTAGCCTCCAACAGCATAAACCAAGCCATTGACTTCAGCACAAGCAAAGTCATACCTAGCCACGTTCATGTCTGGCAATGTGCCCCAACTGCAATTGTCATTGCAAACTTTACCATTGTACGGTGCGAACAATTATCTTCTTCCTAATAATAGATTTATAATCTAAGGAAACAAATCAGGAAAATGTTCGTGAACAAAATGTTCTCCCATTTTATGTGGCGGTGATCTAGGAAATAGGTTGTATGCTAACAAAAAGACATCCTGATACATAGCTTAACATGTATCTCCTTGGAAATTCATTTGATTTTCAATAATTTCACTAATATACCTTGAGGGAAGTTTCAGGCAGACATCGAAACGTTTAGAGTTAAATTTGCGAGTTGCCTGAATATATAAAACAGTCAAGAGATCCAATCCCTCGGGAACAATGATAACCCCAATTGCCAAAATTGAAAGCTTAAAAAGAATCAACCGAACTCTCCATGAAAGGGTTATCCAAACTTATTTCATTCAACTTAGTTCTTTACTATAGCAGAAGAACATACCTGTTGAGGCAAGAATCATACTGGTGAACCTCTGCTGAGGCAGAGCCAGTTCCATCAACCAATGAATAGCCGGCCATAACAAGAAGCTTTCCATCAAGAACCACCACACCAAACCCGGCCTTTACTGGACCAGGCATTGGTGGAAGAGAACGGTGTTTCTGGCCAAGACAATCCAGAACCTCCCAATGGCTTTCCCCTCCTTCACTATCCGTAGTTAAGATATAAAGCCATTCCTCAAGCACGCCAGCCAACTTCCTCACAGTGATAAATTCTTTGCTCTGAATAAACGACCTCCATCTCTTACAGACACCGCCCATAGCTGGGAAGTTGGCACGTGGCACAAGTGCAAGGCAATGCTTTGCCACATCATCAGGTAGCCCAGGTAGAATGGGACTATCCTCTTCATCAAGAACCTCAGAAGTCAAATATTGATTGCTCTTTGAAAGATTTGGTGTATCCTGACTGATTAAATTGGTGAAACACATATTTGACTCTGTAAATCTCTTCTTTCCAGTACCAAAATCAGGCATTATCAGTAGCAAATATCATATACTTAAAGAATTCAGAGCACTTTTGTATTTGACCAATCAACCAAATATTGTTGGCAAGATACTTATTGTGATTCATGCAACTAAATAAATTCGTGATATCCTTCACCAATAGGGATTCTACAAGACCAAGGCATAAAAGATGTTGCAGGACGAATCACTTGAGCAGTATGAGCTGATGATTTTCTGTGCGTTGTCCAGTCTGACTCAAATTCCATAACAGAGATTCTGCTCCTACAATAATTCTTCTCAATTGTTTTGTGCCAATTTGATCTTAAGCCACTGGAGTTGTATCTTCCCTCACACATTGCCCGGATATCTATTAATTACAGGAAAAAAGTTAATACATTTAAAATTAAATATACAAATTAATCAATGATCAATTCATCGATAAAATTATGAAGGCATTAAGTCATCAATAGTCAATACAAAGTCATACCAGAGTAGGCCATAGAACTTAGCAAGACTCAGCCACCTGTAACTTCCATTTTTCTCAAGTCCGTATGGGCTGAATGGATCAAATAGGGGGAGTCAGCTTAAGAGTAAGTAAAATTTCCGTGAAAACATGCCAAGTAAACGTGGAAACTTAATAGCAAACAGGCTTAATCTGCAAGGTTGAATAAACTTATACAATCATCACCATCTCAAAATGGCCCATTAAATGTATATAAACACCAGAGCAAACAGTGAAAAGTAAAACCTGCACTCTGTTTCATTGACTTCAAATCAAAGGTGATTTTCTTTTTTTTAGATAACTGACAAATAAACTCGGAAGTGACTTCACAAGCATTCCTTACACATTGAGGAACCAAAGTAGGGAATTTTCATTCAACAAAACCTATCTCTAGTACTTCCAAAAAGAAGTCAAAAATGCAATAAGGTATTTTTCCTTTGTGTGTGTGTGTGTGTGTGTTTAATTTTGGGTTTAGAATTTGTCTCTCTCCAAAAAAAAAAAAAAAAAAACAGGTGGAACAAAGCATATCACATCCAAAGCATATCACAAGAGGGATAACTAAACATGGAATGGATGAGAAAAACAAGACTCATGCGATGTGAATGGAAAATAAACTAGATCTTGTTTGCTGTATGAAGCCTTAAAATCGCCATAACATGAATATGAGGCATACACTATCTTCTGCAAACAAGCACAGAAGTTCAGGTAACAACCAGGTCTGGAAGTAATACAATGCTGAAATAATTTGGATGTGTTTGTAGATAAGTAAGTTCGGCAAAAGAGTCGCATGAAAATTAGGGAATACACGTCACTCCTAAAGGAAAAACAGATTAACACATCGACCAGCTCAGAAGAATAGAACATTACAGCCATAAGGATACACCAAGGGTCTAATAAAAGATCAATAAAACATGAATCTCAGATTTGAATGGGAAGCACGTTCCCCAATTCCCATATGAGAAGAAAACACATCATAAATGGAAGCCTTTATCGTTCTCTACAGAAAGGCAAATCCTCCGTATGGCCACCACTCCAACAATTAACACGGCTCAAGTGCCTATAGGATCTACGAAGCGCAAAACAAAAGAACTAACAGAGTAATGGATCATAAAAGAGCAAAGAAAACAACGAAACTAAAATAAATCTGATTCGGATAATGATTAAGAAACAAATCGCGAGCTATGAGGAAATGCTTGTAGATCATTAATAACAGAACTAGAATAGCAATTAACAAACCAAGAGGCCAAAAGGAACAAAAGAAAGACAAGAAAAGGAAAAGAAACTTACAGGAGAAAGAAACAGCTGAATCAAGAGTGAATTCTCGAATGCGATAATTTAGCGAACAAGCACAATGGATAGAATATCGGTGCAAGAGGGGAAAGGGGGAATTTATAGGATTAGGACCCGAATCAGTAGGAGAGGATAAAAATGACACAGCCTAAACACGTCAAAACGAGATAAGCAAAAAATATCATTGTGTTTGTAGATGGAAATATATTTAAAATTTTGCATCTTTTTTTAATTCTCGTGTCAGATTGTGATATTATAAATTAATCAATTTTTTAAAATTTATCAATATTCTGAATTCTAAAGAGTCCGGTCAATCTGGTCGGAGGGATGGACGGTGTAGTTGTGTTTCGCTGTGATGTTGGTGGGCATCCACCACTCTCTATCCATCTCTAATATTGCCATTCAGCTTTTTGCTTGCAATCATGCTGCTCGGACAAGCCAAATCAACTTTTCCTTATTTTAGCGAAAATCTCAGTACTTTTTAATTAATCATGAGACTCATGACATTAATAGATAATTGAAATAATTTATTAAGGTTAAAACTTTTCATAATTAAGACCCGTGAAGCTCGTTGAAAATTTAACCACGGTGGAATCTTCATTCACCCCTAGGACTTTTTTTAGCAGAATAACCGGCTCGACGGAGACTGAAAAAGCCGACATTGTATGTTGACTGGTTTGTGTATGTATCAACAGTAAATTGACTAATGCTGCTACCGAATTACCAGAATACAGCTATAAGTAATTAATATTCATTAATTAACAGTCAATAATCAACTTCCCCAAACGGGAACGCGAGGAATCCTTATCCTCAGTAGTTATTACACCTCAGCCAAATGTGTGAGGATGTGACTCTCTGATTTTTCTTCTTTTCTTTTCCCCCTTTTTTGGACGGTTATCTCTCCATCCTTCCTTTTTTTTTTTTTAATTGAGTCTCTTCATCGTTTTCCTTGGATGATTTCATCATTTTTTAATATATATTATCTTTTTTTTTAACAGAGGAAGTAATAATTTTAGACAAAATAAAAAACGTTAATTAAAAATAGGTGGAAAATTCAAGAAATATTGAGTGCCTTTGGCTGTCCTCAGTTATGATTGGAACTCATGTAGTCGATTTAAAGTAACATATTTGACTTTGATTAAACAAAACCAAAAATAATTTTCCATATTTGTGGGTGGCGGGCTCTACTCAAGTCTCAATCCCATATCGCAAAGAATCAAATGAGATTATTGGCCGAAAAAAAAATAGATCATGACATTTTTCTTGCATTAGTGAGATAAATAAAAAAATAATTATATTTTAATTTCTTTGTAATAAATTATAAAAAAATTTGAAAAAAATTTCACATACTGATAAATCTTATTAAATCTACTTAATAATTTTATTTTTTAAAAAAAATAAAAATATGAACTTGTAAAAATGCTCTTCATTTAATATATTAAAGAAAAGAGAGAAACACACAGAAAATAGAAAAAAAATAATATTAAAATAAGTATATTTAATGAAATTTTAATATTTTCAAAATATTTTATATTTTGTGACATTAAAATTATTCTGAAAATATTTTATATTTTAAGACAAATTGAGTTATCTCATGATGGACTACGAGTGGCAGAAGTAAGGAATCTTTTCCGAGATTTATTGGCTGTGATGAAAATAAGACGCGCCAGTTAAAGAGAACCAGTGACTGAAGATTCCCAGAGGGTCTTCCAATTTTTCTGCGGATTTTGAAAAACCGGAGCCATTGTCGATCCTTTAGCAAGCTGATCCAGATCTAGTAGCGACCAGCCAGCGCCAGTGCACCACATTCTGAGTTTTGGGTTTCATCGAAGTTTAATTTCCATCACTCATGTCCTTGGTGTGGCTCAATAATCAGCCAGCTTCTAGAAAATTTGGAAATAAATTATTTTAGTCTCTGATTAATTTTGTCAAAAAATTCATATAAATATTTTTAATATAAAATATAAATTATAGATACCTCCCGTAAATTGACAGGATTGTAAGTTTTAAATTTTGAAAACTTAAATAGATCTCTTGATGTTAATTTCTTGATGTTTTAAAATTACAAAATATTCATTCTGTTTTAAGAGGCATTTATGATATGTTTTATACAAAACATAATATTGTGTATGTGTGGTAATAAATTCCACAATATGTTTCTTCTGAATGAGATTTTGTTCAGATTTTAGGGATAAAAAAGCAAATATTTTTAATAAAATCTTAAAAGGTTTTTTTTAATCATGCACTGATGTCCTCTTGATAGAAACAGAGACATGATCCGATATCAAATATAGATGTATTTTTTAAGTAGTTAAATATTTAAAAATGTAAGAATTTTTTAATCTTTTAAAATGTAATCATTATTTTTTTAAAAAAAGCGTTCATATTAATAGTAATTTTATATTTATTATAGAATATTTAATAAGAATAAATATGAAAAGATAAAGTTAGTTTAAAAGTAGGTAACTACTTTATTGAGAATTGAGATTCGATTAAAAATGCCTTACATTTTTTAACAGAGTATCTCTCGATAAAAATTCAAACTTTGATTCATCATGTTATAAAAATATTATTCATTTTGCTAGACTCAATCCCCATTAATAAAATTTTGAGAGGTTTTATAACCAAAAAAAACAGAGAGGTCTACTATTTTTAGAAATAAAGTAAATACGTGTATTATTCAAAAATTAAATACATAATTTACTCAAAACGAGACACATGTATATATAAAAATATACTACTGTATCGAGCACCTGACACTGAAATATATCCTCCCTCCATTTCAAAACATGAGGGTTTTAAGATTTTAACACAGAGATTAATAATTAATAAATATAATGAATACCTTTAAAATATTGATCATATTATTAAATTTAATCTTTATTTAATAAAATAAACATTTCCGTGTTACTCACATGAATAATGTTATAACTAGAAAAAAAAAATGTTGTATTGAACTTTTAAAAGTTAAAACAATGAATAAAACGAAAACAAAAATATTCTTTCAACGTATTTATTTTTTTTAATCATTAAGACTTAGGGGTCGCCGCGGACAATAAAAAGTATTTCTTTTGAAATATTGATGGTACTTGATTGATAGGCTTTTTTTTTTTTTTTTGAATTAAGTTGTTACACGCGCACGCATATATAAAGCTGAGATTTGAACATTCAGTTACTTACAGTGACGGACCAGAAAAATTTATTAGAGGGGCAAAATTTATACTAAATATAAATATTAATGATTGTGAAGAAAATATAATTCTAAATATTAATAAAAATAATATATAAATAAAATATATGATAATTTTAAAAATATATATTAATGTCATTTGCATTACAAAATTATTTTTGTAATAAATATAAGAGAAAGCAATTTTTTTAAA